ATTCTCCTCCTCGATTAGGTCAGCTGGCATTACTCACTACTCTCAGTAGGCATGATTTTTACATGTCTCTCCTCTCCACAAGTACCCCCCATCCCCATCCGTGCCACTTTCCATTACTTCTGATCTAGAGTAGCCCTAAAGAACCATAGGTTGCCGTGGTCAACCAGATGACCAGTTTTCTTTTACCAATAATTTAAATTGTACACACGGAACTTGAGCAGTCAACTTTGTTTAGCCTGAGGTGAGTGCATGGGCTGTGCTTTTAAAATGTAAAACAGTCATTCCCTTGAAACTTCTCTCCACCTCAGATTGATCCTTCCCTTATAATAACGCAAAACTAATAGATCCCATGAACTCTACCACATTTCATATATATAGGCTCCATCTGTCTTCTGAGAGGAGAAAGCAGGTTTTCATTATTCAGGTTCAATATTGGTATGACAGTTCTTTTCCTTAATGCTTAGCCACGTCCACCTGTTTTACAGTTTGTGGCTGTCTTCTAGATGGTTGCGTTTGCCATAAGTCAGCTAGATAAATGAGGCATTTCAATATGTGACTTAAGAGGGAGAGGGGGAAGCAAGCTGACTTGTATGATCAAATGAAAAAAATAAGAAACCATGGATGTAATAGTCACATTTTTGAAGATCAGTTTAAATTACTTTAACATCATTCTGCAAGTATTGCCTATCAGAATCCAAGAAACTTTTAATGTGACTGCTTTTGCTTTTTTAAAGTATAAAATAAAATGCAAAGTGTAAGTTTAGGCTTTTAAAAGATGAGTTTTCAGTGAAATAGGGCAGATTAAAACAATCTCTACCAAAAGGTAGAAAAGAAATTTGCAACTCTTAGACTTGTGAGTCATAAATTTTAAACAAATTTTCAATATAGTTGTTAACAATTATTTGTTCTGCTTCTGTAGTGTTTTAAAATAATGCAAACTTTCTTGAGGTGCATGAGAAAGTATTTGTGTGGCTCATAAACTCTCTTTGGCATTGTGTGATCATCTTGCTTATGGAAGGCATTTTTTCTGCCTTCAAGAGTATCAAAACCAGGCTCAGAAAGTGTAAACAACTGTTTATGGGAATGTTATTTCACTAGATGTGAACTGTGATGAAATCATTAAAGAGAAATCCTTAGCAAGGCTATTTACAATTTAGCATTTTTAATTCACGTGAAAATATTAATTCTGTTCAACTGAAGAAAAGTATAGGATGATATTTTTTAAGATAATACATTTGTGATTATAGGAATGTATAAGTGTTAAATATATATTAAAATATTTTAGTATATAGCTGTCCCAGAAAGTAAATATTCAGATATTAGTCAGGTTTCTTATATTGAAAAATTAAATGAAAGTAAATTGTTCTGAAGTAATATCTTCTCTCATGGTGATGGGATTTACAGCTAGAAGGGCCCTTAGAGATCATGTAGTCTAATCTCCTCATTTTATAGATGAGGAAGCTGCGGCTCAAAGATATAGTAAATGACATTTCCAGAGTCGCATAGGTAGCAGATGGCAGTGCTAGGATTCAAACAGAAGTCTTCTGATTCCAAATCCCTTATTTATCTTGGTAGGATGATGATGGTGGTGATGGTGTTAGTGATTGGTGATGATGGTGGTGATGGTGGTCAAATGCAGTGAATAACATTTGAACTGGCTTCAGACATAAACAAAATAGCATGAGGGTGTGTTGGGGGGGTGGGGGGGGTGTTTGCAGACCCAGTAACAAACTGTGTGTCTGTTTTCCAAAGGCCAGCCTAGCTGTGTATGCAAAGGCTTATCACCGGAAGGTTGGCTACCAGGTGGTGATTTTTTTTTTGGCCAAAGCAATCCATGAAATGGACAAAACACAGTACTGCCTTCTGTTCTGTGCAGTGCTCTTTCGTTTCTATAGTGGCAGAAAGTGGGGCAGAGAGCACTAAAATTCACACAGTCTAAGAGCATCTACAAACATTCAGTGTTGGTACTCTTAACGTGTGATCTTTGTGCAACAATCAAATTGTCACACTGCGGGGGGAACTGAACCAGATTCTTATTGGCATTTACTATGAATGAAACCAGAAGAATTAAAGATGTTACAGCTAAGTGGAAGGACAGATCAGAAGTTCTCTTCAAGGATATAAATAACGGAATTAGTCTCATCATGCACCCAAAAAACAAATACCTTGTGCCTGTGTCTCAATATTTTATTTAAGAAGAAGGTTGGAAGGCACTGGATGGCAAGTACTTGAGTGACATAAAGAAATGAAAACCATTTCACAGAAATGCAGTAGCTGTGAACATAGTCACTTCAAAACCAGCATTATTCATCAAAGTCAAAGTAAATATCACCTTAGAAGAAAAGGATTTAAGATAAGAAGAAAACATTTCATATGATTATAGAAACTCCATTTTTTTATGTAAACCATCAACTCCAGATAATGGGAGTCTTTCACCATTTTGGCAGGGTGGGTGGGTAATTTAGCCAGTAAACAGTCACCACAAAGTGGTGCAAAAAGCCCAGAAATTAACCTCAGTCAACAAACACTGTTTCTTTGACAAGTGGAAAAATGTGGCAGCCAAAGATATTACCTGTTCGTTAGCTATTACAGGATCATTTGCCTAATATTATAATGGAAGATGATGAAAGGCAAGAAGTAGTATTACTTCAATAGAGTAGAAAAGTTTTTGAAGAGCTTGGCGTTAGATCTGGCTATCCCAGATCATTCCTAGGGCATTTATAGGTAAAATCAGGAAGTTTAGCAAACAGAATTTTTAATAGTGATTTATTCTTAAAAAATATATATATAGTGATATGTTCTCATCAGCCGCAGTTTGGATTATACTCTCATTATCTAGTGAACAAGAACGTAGGAGTGTCAAGGAAGAAGGGTTAGACCTGACCAGATACATAAAACATACTGAGCTTCCTTACGTTGGGAAATCTTTGTGCGATTAGGCTAGGTTATCTTTTATGAAAATATAAGAGAGGAACAGGCAGAATTAAATGTAAAACAATTGAATATATATTAACCCAAGATGTTTGCTAGTGTCATGGAAGATGTCCTTTGAGACTTTCTGTTGATAGCAGGATTCTCCAAATTTGTTCATATGACGTACAAAGTGCAGCAAGCCCTGGAATATAAGTTCTCCTTTGGGTGATTTAATTCAATAAACAGTATCTGCTTTGTGCAAAGTTCTGCTGGCTATCACAGAAAGGAAAAGAAATAAGGTTGTTGTCATGGTGGACAAAATTTATTAAAAATTAACATTGCCAATACTGTGACATGTTGCTGATCCAGCATCCTGTTTAAATTAATTCATCTTGACCAAGCAGTACAAATGGACAATTAACTAATACTCGAATTTTTTAAGAGGAAACTGGACTGGATTAGACTTGAGAAACTATACTGCTTTCAGTAATCCAAAATTGCTAAATGCCTCGAAAGGCTAAATTTTAAAAACTAGCGTTGTCCCAGATTCTGTATAGCTAATGGAACACCTTATGCATGGAAGAATCAAAATTATAATTAATACAAAGGGCAGTGGAAATGTATGGTAGGCAAAGATAATTGGATGTACAACTTATGAAAGACCTGAGAGATCATCTAGCCCAACTCCTCCTTCTTGAAGATGAGGAAACAGGTGTTAAGTGATTTGCCCAAGATCACACAGGTACTAAGGAGTAGAGCTGGAATTTAAATAGGGTCTTCTGCCTCCCAAATCCAGTGGCACAGACCACTGCACCACACTACTATTTCTAGGCTTCAGCATGTTATCAATAAATTGCATGTGATAAGCAATATAAAAGACATACAGATGGATAGTTTGGTATTTTGATACCTTTGGGCCATTAAAAAGAATGAGAAAAGAGGCCTCCAACATGTTGAGTAGGTCTTCTGTGGAAGATTTATGGAAAGACATGGATAAGAATCACAGGATGAGAAGGCATTGGAAGGGTTGCAATCTGCATTGGTGGAGGGAGTACCCACACTGATGAAATCATGGATCCATCACAGTAAGTATACATATGTATAGATATTTTAGCAATGGACTTTAAGCAGTTAAGGAATATTTTAACAAAACTGCGTAAATTACTGGTACGTATGTGTTATATAAAGATGAAAGTCTTGACCAAGAGAGACAGAAACAAATTAAATTTAGAAGTTTGGTGGGAAATACCAAGAGAAGTAGAAGTAGAAAAAGAAGTCTGGTGGAAAAAAGGAAATAATGGGGAGTGGAGAAAGGTAGTAAAGCAAGGACAAAAAGTACTGGATTCTAAGGCCCATAAAATTCATAGCCAGTCACCCAGCAAAAGTACTTTGAAGCCCTGAATTTAGGTGAGCAGCATTTATGATGCAAGTTTACATTTCATATGGTAGAGTTACATATTTGCACACAATATACCAAAAGTAGGGGGATTATGACCCGACTTTAGAAAATATGACTTGCCATGTTCCATTAAAGTAGTAACAATCTTGTTTCCATTCAAGAATTAGTGAGTACTCAAGCTATGTACACAACATTGTGCTGGGTGCTTATAAAGACAAAAATGAAAAAATTCCTGCCCTTACATTCCAAGGGGATTGAGGAAGAGGGGATGAAACATGTACACAGAAAATACAGAATAAATTTGGAGGGAAGGGAATACACCAACAACTAGGAATCAGGAAAGGAGTTTTAAGACGTAGTCTGTGAGTTGAGCCTGCGATGAGGGAGAGCATTCCAGGCATAGCAGACAGCCTGTCAGAGGCAGGAAATAGAATGTCGTGTATAAAGAATAGCAAGTAAAGTGGTTTGCAATATATAGAGTGGGTGAAGGGGAATAATATGTAATCATCCTGAAAGAAATGTGTTCTATTAAAAGAAACTTTAGGTGTATTAAATTGGTAAAGAATATTTCTGACATTCTGATACATTCAGAGAATTAACAGTGTCTTTTTGCTGCTAATTCTATAATGTAAAATTAATCATATTGACTGACCCCCAGATCTAACTTTGCTCTTTATTGTTTGTACAGGGACATGGGATTAGAACTATTTAGAAACCATGTTATTAGTGATAAGCTGGTTCAAAGTAAAACTATTGATGGAATTCTTCTGTTAATTGAACGAGAGAGAAATGGTGAAGCTGTAGACAGGAGCTTATTACGAAGTCTTTTGAGCATGCTCTCTGATCTTCAAGTAAGTATATAATCTTATGATCCTTTCAATGCAGTTGGTAAATCTGACACTCTAATTCATACATTAGAATAAAAAAGACTTTTAAAAATAACTACATAATTTTCAATAATGAAGTCAGTTGATTTTTATTTCTTATTTAATGGAGAAAGTGGCATTGAGTAAAGGACCATTCTTGGAATTGGGAAGACGTTATCTTCTGCTCCAGCATCTGACATACCATCTCTGTGACCATTGGCAAATCATTTAACATCTCAGTGGCCCAGGCAAAACCTTAAGACTGCAAGTTACTGATGAGTTCCCTTTTTGTGCAGGGAGTGAATTTCTATTTTGAAAGTTCATTAAACCAATGAAATCATAAGTCTAGAACTTGACCACCCCCCACCTCTTTTTTAGGGGGTGACGGGGGTAGAAAAAAGTTTTTCCTTTAAAATGTAGAACAATAGTTTTTTTTAGAATGCTTTTTAAAAAATATTTTAGTTTTGCAAATCTGAATACATCCAAATGCAAAGCACTTAAGAGACTTTATTGCATTTTTTGAAATGCCGGCTTTGGGAACCTAGAGTGGCAGCATTATAGTCTTCTTGATTTGCTTCTAATTGCTGTTACTAGATATCACAATATAGGATTTTCTTTCATCAAATAGCATCTTTGGAGAACAAAATAGTTTAAAAGGATGCAATTAAAATTATCTTGAGGGTACTTGTGATACTGTGATTATCAATTTTGCTTTTCCTTTTAGTAAGTAGAACCAGTAACAGCGTAAAAATAGACCAGTCTTGGTTTTGGTTTACTAACCTCCCCTTTCTCTTTCCCTTTTTCACCTTTCATAGCACCTTCTACAGCCAGTTCTTTGAAGTTCTGGCTGTGCTCTCCCTTATTAAAAACTTCATTTTTAAGTTCTGAATTTGATCACGCCACAAAAATGAGCATTTCCATATACACAGGAGAACACAGAAGGAGGATTGGTCTTCCTTTCACACTGCTTGCTTCAAATTTCACATGTTACATTCAGACTTGTCTTGCTTATCTGTTCTATTCTTTGCATTTTTTTTAATGATTCAGTGTCATTCTTTGATTGACATCACTATTTCAAACTTCCCCGCTCCCTTAGGTATGTCCTTCCCTAGTAAAAGCAGAGGGGGGGGACACCTTTGTGACAAATAAGCTTAGGCAAACAAAACTAAGCCTATGGTCCCCAAGTCCAGAGATACTTCTCCCTGTACCATCACTTCTCTGACAGGAGGTATGTAACATTGCCTCATTGTGGCTCTCTGAAGGCATGCTTGGTCATGGCTTTTATTTAGTTCTCAAGGCTTTGAAAATTTTTATTTTCTTTACAACATTGTTGTCTTTGTATAATTTGGTTTCCTGGTTCTGCTCACTTCATTCTGTATCATTTCCTATTTCCCAGGATTCTCTGAAATCATCTCTTTCATCATTTCTTAACATTATAGTGGTGTCCCATTGCATTTGGTTAGCCATTCCCAATTGATGGGCACCCCCTTAGATTACAGGTCTGTTCTTTTACTCCCTCCTTAAGGATCAAGAAGTTCGTTTTTCTTGTGACTACTCCTTCCCTAGGATTAGGCTTCCGCTTAACCTCCTTCACCCCCACCCATTCCTTATTTCTCTGTTGAATTTGATGTATTTCTGTAACAAAATCTGTTTGTGTGTGCATGTGAGCACACGTATGTGTATTCAACCTGACTTTGTCCAATTCAGATAAGAGTGAAAATTTACTTGATTCCTGGTCCCTTCATCTTTTCCTCCAAGTTTGTATGTTCTTCTTCTCACTGCCCCATTAGGAAAATTAGCAACTTTCACCCCTCTTCTCTTCTCTTTAAACTTTTAACAGGCCTTAGAACAAAACCAGTCCATTTCTAGATGCTTTGATTCGCTTAGTACCTCAATATCCTTTAAAGACATTAAGATTCTTTTGTTAGAAATTAACACTGTATCATCACTTGCTCAAATAAATTTGCCTTTCTAGGTTTCTCTTGACTCTTGATGTTTGCATTTCAAAGTTCCTACTCAGTTCTGGTTTTTTCTTTAGAACTGTTGGAAAGTTCTCTTCCATTCATGTTTTATTTTTTTTCCGTTATAGGATCATACCCACTTTTGAAGGAGTAAGTTAATTTTGGTGGTTAGCCTATATCTTCTTTTTGCCTCTTGGAATATTGTATTCCAATATCTCCTCTTTCAATAGCTAAGTCTTGGGTGATCCTGACTATCATCACTGGAACTTAAACTACTTTCTAGACCAGGCCTGCACAACTTGTGGCCTTTGAAGTATTTTTTCTTTGCTATGATATGGAAACTCTGGATTTTGGCTATAACATTACTAGGACTTGCTTTTCAGATTTCTTTCTGGAGGTGATAAATGATTTTTTTTTTCTCTCTCTGTCTTTACTTTTCCCCTTATTCCTTGAAACACAGTGTGCAGGCTTTTTTGTTTTTTTTTTTAAATCATGGTTTTTCATAGAGTCTGGTTCTTAAGTGAACTCTTCTTGACCTTTTTTACAGACCTCTTTTTGATACCAGATACCTTAAATTGTCTTTCCATTTTAAAAAATCTTTTTATTTTTGTTCTCATTTTCTTGTCTCATATAGTCATTGGTTGCTATTTGGCCTATTCCGATTTTCAGAGTCCATTATTTAGGTAAGGTGTACTACTTTCTCTTCTAAGCTCTTCCAATTCTTTCCTTTAGAGCTTTTATTTCATTTTTTATGAATTTTTTTTCATTTCTCCTAGGTTTTCATATAGTCATTGTGGAAAATCCGTTTTTCCCCCCTTTAGGTCTATGCTTGCTATTATTAAGAAGTTACTCTCTCTTCCAGGCTGAACTTTTGGGCATATCTAGGTCTACAATAATTTATTACTGTGGTCATTGGCTTCAGTTTACTCAAATCTGCAGCCTTAGTTCCTTAACTGAGGCTTTGGGCTAAGGTCAGGCTTCACCCCTCCTGAAGTAGTAGTTCATTTTGGGTGGATTGGTCAACCCTGCTTTGTCTCAACTCTGGTAACCTGGGTTCTTGTGCTAAAACCTACCTCCTGGCAATCTTAGAAGTTCATAGCACTAGATCTTCTAGGCTCTTGATTGATTGCTGCCAGGTGGCATGGAGCCTGGGCTGTTCTTGTAGTCATACTGCTGCTGATCTCAGTGACTTCCAAAGTCCACGAAGGTGGCTTTCTGACCTCCTCGGGGCTTTGTAAGGGAAGCCCTTCACTCTTGGTACCTGGTGGGTGAGAGACACACACAGACACACCCTTACATATGTTTGACATCCAGGTTGTCTGCCTGCATTGACATTAACTTTGCTGGAGGTCCCAGGGACTTCGAGCTGACATATTGCTGTAGTTCTGGGTTGAAGGATGTTACTTCTTATTGAATATCTTGATCATCATTTCATCTGGTTTAGCTTTTTATTGGAATAGGAATGTGGAAGTGGGTAGCTTTCTTCCTTTCACGTAGCCTTGTAAGAATAGAGTTGTTATTTGTCTTACACAGATTAGCTATTTTAAAAGAATTAGTGTATGATAATGTACACAGAACTATGCAAATAGTTGTCTGAACTGTACTGAACTATTCTTGGGTGATTAAGTGGGACTTGGGAAGACCTTATATAAGTAATTAAGCCACTAACCTTGAAATACAATTCATATTTATGAAAGGCTGTTCAGTGCATAACAGGAGTTCCTTGTGGGGGTAGGGACAGAAGTCCTATACATATATTTTTAAATTCTGCCTTGAGATTTTAAGGACTAGTGTGATCAAAATCCCCCCTCTTCCACATATTAACTCAGGGGAAGGGGTGAAATCCTAACTTAACACTCTGGAAATTAAGTATTGCTAATTTTATTGTAAAATTCAAAAGGTTTGCTTTTATGTGTAAATACCCATCTTGTAGACTTCTGATATACTGCTAGTAGACACAATTTTTATAACTAGAGGCATAAATAGATTTAATTAAAAGTGCTAATTAACCAGAATTGGTAACAGGCTATATAACATGATACATCAAAAAGAATTTAATAGATTTGTTTTTCTCCTAAACCAATCAACTGTTATTTTTCAGTGTGATTTACTTGATTACAATCTTTTTAAGCCAGATGCTAGAAGAAAATTACATCTGAGCTTCAGAACCTTTCTCTAATTACCTGCTCTCCTAAATGTTAATGCAGGAATATACCACATATAAAGTCAATTAGCCAAATAATTTTACAGTAATCTTAGTAGTCATATCTTCTGCAGAGAAGAATTATTCCTTACTTAGCAGTGGGATATCTATCCTTTAGAAAATACAGTGTTGAAATTCAGCTGATAATTGTCATCTCTAGAAAAATATTGAACTACAGGCTAGGGAATTCTTGAGGAGGAAAATTAGCACTTCCTCCCATCTCTCTTCTAAAATATTGCAAAATTTTTATTTGCTTTTACCTTTATCTTGATCCAAACACATTGTTAAGATCCCTAAGCTCATGCTTTTTATAATCTCAGATCTGTCTCTGTAAAGACTAGTTTTTAAGAATTTTATTGTCTAAATTTTGGCTACCCAGGAACAAATATCAAATTTTGTAGCATTGTTAATGAGGAACTGTCATTTGTGACATTGGTTCCACAAAAACACAACCTTATTTGAAACGATAATGTTAGATTGTAACGTTCAGCCTAACATTCCTTGCTAAGAAATTTTGACATTTGGAAACCAATATTTAGTCATATACAGTAGCTGTCTCAGGAATCTGAGTTAGGCTAGCATGCCTCCAGTGGTTTAAATAGCACCAAGAGATCCAATCTGGCAAATACCTGGAAAGTTGTAGACATTTCAGGGATATTTGAAGAATTGTTTCAAGGCCCAGCATGGCAGTGGCACTTGCAGCTGGGAGAGGCAGGGGTACAGTGGTACATAAAAGAGCATATGTATGGGAAACTAGACGACTTCTTAGTTACTTTTAACATTTGACTTACTCTTGTTTTTCCCTGAATCTTGGTGCCAATTACATGTTAAAATTTCTTAATGTAACCTCAAATTTAAAACAGAAACAAAGACTTTTAATTTCTCTTCACTAAATAATAATATTGATTTCTTAGGTCTATAAAGATTCATTTGAGCAGAAATTTTTGGAAGAGACTAATTGTTTATATGCTGCAGAAGGCCAAAGACTCATGCAAGAAAGAGAGGTAAAAATATTAAATATAATCATATTTTTGTTTCGTGTCAATACTTATGCTTTTAATTTTAATATATGTACATTTGCCAATATACACTTTGGAAACTTTTTGTATAGCCATGATCTAGCCAAAATAGGATTTTGGTCTTTAGCTAAAAATAAAAATATCCTAAGAGATTTAATAATCCCTACCATTAATATAAACTGTATGTTTCTATATTAATTGAAAACTTTTATAATATTCCCCACAACAGAAATTCAGTAAGATAACACAAAATGGAAATAATGCAAAAATATTTTTTAAATTCCTTGGGCAGCTAGTTGGATAGAGCGCTGGACCTGGAGACAGGAAGATCTGACTTTATATGTGGCCTCAGACACTTACTAGCTATATGACCCTGGGCAGGTCCCTTAATCCTGTTTGCCTCAGTTCCTCATCTGTAAAATGAGCTGGAGAAGAAAATGGCAAATCACTCAAATGCCTTTTCCAAGAAAACCCCAAATGGGGTCATAAAGAGTTGGACACGACTGAAATGACTCAGCAACAACAGTAAAAAATGCCGACTATTAAAAGTGAAATAGATGCCTCTACAGATACATGGAGAAAAGAGTCATAGGATCATAGATCTGGAGCTGGGAGAGACCCCCAAGGCTGTAACCCCCTCATTTTAGACAAGGCCTTAGATGTGTCTTGCCCAACATATGACGTATAGAATAGGAGAGGGAGGATTTGAAACCTGGTCCAGTGACTCCAGAGCCAGTGCTCTTTCCACTATACTCTATGAATTGAAATTCAAAAACAAACAAAACACAAGCTAAAAATTAACAGTTTTCCCCCCCAAAAATTCTTAGAATCAAAGAATATTTGTGTTGGAAAGGTCATTACAGGTTATCTAATTCAACACCTCCCTTTTTACAGATGATGAAAGGGGCCAAGAGAAATGAAGTGAATTGCTGAGGGTTATCTTGCTAATTAGTAGCAGAGTTGGTCTTGAAAATGTGGTCTTCTGGATTCTGACCAGGCTGTTACTTTTTCAGACTCTGCTAGTACTCTCACAATGGTTTCTTTGCATGTGACTTGGTTAAGCAAGTCCTTTGAACTCGTCTCCAAAATGTCATTCATGTAGTTGCCATAGACCTTGGCTATGTGGTTTTCTCCTCATTTGGCCAAGGACGTTCCAGATCTGAACTTTGCCGTCTTTAGCTGCCGAGGAACAAAGTTATTGTCCTTAAAGAGCAACACTTGAGCTGGTTTCCCAGTGAGAAACTTTGGAGTAGAGAAGAGAAACCTCATACCGCTTTACAGAGTCTGTTTTTTATCAACTCTGCATCGAAGCAGATGTTGAATGGATGAGAAGCATAACGTTAAGGTCTTATGTCTTCTAATTCAATAAATTGTTCACTGGCACATAAGCAAGTCAGTTTCTTTATCCAGACAAGGAAAGCCCATGGAACCTCACTAAAAAACAGAATATACATGATCGTGCCAACTAAACTCAGCTCTCAGCGTCCAGCCCGTTACCTGATCCACTTCAGCCATTGGTTGCCCAAGGACAGTGCAACAAAACAAAACAAAACCGTGCTATTTCATAGCACCCTAATGGAAACAATATGCAGCAACTTTTCCTCAAAATGAATTTTAGTGATTACGCCAAGAACAAAGAGGGACACAGTGTTGTCAGTAAAAATAGTGTTGAGGGGGAGAAGGGGAAGAGGTTGGAAGGGGTATATATGAAAGGAAGAGAAAATACCTCATTAATTGAAAAATAAAAGTGAAAAAAAGTGTTGGATTTGGAGTCAAAGAACCTGAGTCCAGATCATGACTTACTACTTAGTACTCTGTGTGACTTTGAGCAAGACATTCCACATTTCTGGGCCTCATCTTCTTCATCTATAGAAGGAGCATGTTGTACTATGCCTCTTACAACTCTAAAACTACAATTTCAAAATCTTGGTATTTTGTTTCTAGCCTAATCTTAAATAATTTTGAGGAAAATGATGATTTTTTTTAATTTTTAACTTCCCAGAAGAAAGTGATCATAGAAATCAATAGTAATTTTAGTGTTATTTCTGTGACATCATTGATCTCTTGGCATTTTTTGTTGAAAGGTCCCAGAATACCTTAACCATGTAAACAAACGTTTAGAAGAAGAAGGAGACAGAGTAATAACATATTTAGATCACAGCACACAGTGAGTAATATTTACTTTCTCTAATTTTACCATAGTTAAAATTTTCTTCTTTGGGTGTATTCTGAGAAGTTCTGGTGGTAGTGCTATAATCATATAAGTCACATTGTTAACATTTATGAAGCATTCACAAGGCAAATCTTCACTAAGTGCTATGTCCTAATAAGGTGAAATTTGTTTTCAAGGAATCAGCAAGTTGGGTGGTAGTGGTCTGGAGAACTTTGTCATCATCACCTTTGAATTTATATACTCTGGATAGCTACTTGCTCTGCCTAATGGTAGGAGTTCCCAGTTTTCAAGGAAATTAATTCAGGCTGAGCTATTTAAAAGTGCTAGACAAAAAGAGACCATGTTATTATTGATGAGACTCAATTGGAATTTACCAGATATTGAATATATGAGAGTTTCATTAGATGTACTTCAAATATTAAATCATCAGTTCCATATTTACTCACATAATTCCCCCGTTCCTTTTAGGAAAAAGAAATGGTCCCCACATTTGACCTCCGGGTCATTCATGAGCTTGATCCCACTACTGCCCAACACTGGAACTTTGTTCCATTTTCTGACCTAGGCCAGTTCACCTCTCCTTAGGCAACTTGGGGGTTCTCTGCTCTCAGGGACTTTCCATATTGATGCTGAATGTAGTTTGGGCACCTTAACAGCGTAATCTCCCCAGCTCAGGAGTTCTGACAGCCCCAACCACCTAGGTAGCAGGGATTATAGGTAGGCACCACTCTGCCTGATTTTGCTGTTTTTTAGCCTAAGGTTTTCAACTTTAAAGTAAATTGGTAAGTAGGTAGAAAATAGAAAGAATTAATGTAAACTTTCATCTGTCGATGTCTTAGTGTCTCATATCAGTGTCATATGTCTCATATCAGCGAGTAGAACTTCATTAGTCAGAGCCAACAAATGTGACTGAGTGCCTACAGTAATGATGTATACCTTTCATTCTCATGAGACTTTAGTTTTCTATTTTTGATCCAGTGCACCCCTCTTTAATTTTATTGCATTGTTTAATTCTTCTTTTCCCATAGACACACTCTCTGATCTCACTCAGATTTTTTTATTTTACTTAAACTATTCATTTCTCTTTTTTATTTCTCACCCTCTTTTAACCCTCAGTCTATTTGTAGCTTTTTATTTCTTCTTTCTGTAAGCGTCATGAGGGTAAAACTTTTGGGTAATCAAACTGGAGTTTCCTCTGCTATCCCATTTTTATGTTATTGCCTTTGTAGATCAAATCCATTCTGTTTTCTGCTGTGCTTTTAGAAATATCGGTCTCTGAAGGAAGCAGTGTTGTGTCGTTTTCTCTTCTAGAGCAGGACACCCTCCCATTTCAGGTCCCTTCATCTTAGTCCCTTCCATTCATTACTTTTGTTTTATTCCAGATAGCTGCCAATCATGAAAGAATAAAGAGATTATTATCCTTTTACCATATACGTATGGACTTGGTGGACCTGTATTGTTTTTCTCCCCTCTGTCTCTTATCTCCTGTCTCCCCATTTGTACAACTTACTACTATAAGTCCCTCACACAAAATCTGTTGATTCACTTACATAGATCAGGAGATTTAGTCCATAGGCTATTCATTTCTTTCCCCTTCCTTTCTCCTAATTCTTTAAATTCCCTTTACATTTTTTGACCTTTAGTCTCTTTTGTTCTTTGATCCTCTTTGTTTTTATTAACCTCACAGTTCAATTTGTTCAAAAATAAAAATAACCTATAGAAATGAGTGAATTTATTATTCTTTTCATTTCCTTTTCCCCGTCACTTTTTTTTAAATCACGATCACTATCTTTAGCTATGGAATTGATTTATCTTACTACAGATACTTTGGATGGTTTCTGTTTCAGAGAAGCGTACTCTAAAGGAAAGAATGATAGATTAGAAGCCATTGGCCATTTGCTAGTTTTGTGACTTGGGACAACAAGTCACTTAATCTTTCTCAGCCTTAATTTCTTCATTTGTAAAGTGAAATAATAATACCTCACAGGGGTGTAGCGAGGACCAAATAAGATAATGTATGTAAAGTACTTGGTAACTTTAAAGAACTTTGTATATACAAGCTGTGACTAAGGCAGGAAGGGATGTGAAAAGCAGCTTATGTGGGAAATGTGAAATGAGGAACAAGGAAAAAAAGCAAATATGATAAGTCACAGTTTGTGCCAATTTTTTCACTTTATATCTCCTGAAAAAAATTGTAATAGCTGTGTAAACATATAGCACTTTAAAGTTTGCAGAGTACTTTACAAATGTTATCTCACTTGATTCTCACAACAACCCTGGAGGAGTGGGTACTATTATTGTCCGCATTTTACAGTTGAGTTTACTGAGGTAGAGGTTGTGACTTGCCCAAGGTCACACAACTAGTAAATGTATGAGGCTGGATTTGAACTTGGGTCTTCCTGACACCAGGTATTGTAGTGTGTGGATTGGCAAAATTGGGAGTAATCTAATCTAATAGAACAACCCGGAGGCTTCATTGTGCCTCAGATGTATCTAGTGGAGTCCTTGAAATTGGAGATATGAATGTTTTTTCCTGTTAGAACTCCATCTTGTGAAATAGGAGCATGAGAACAGTGTCTTAGCAGCATACAGAGCACAACTGCTTCTGGCAGGGAGCTCTTTTCAAGGACTCTGATGTCTCGGGCAACAAAAAGCATTTTCTTCCTCCAGGAAACTGAGGGAAACCTAGGTAGTTGTGGCACAAAAGGCTGAAATAGGAATTTAGGAGGGATACAGAGGGAGAATCCAGCTGAATTGGGATACTGACTGCTCTCTCCAGAGCTTTGGGGTTCCCTCCCTCCCACTCTTCTTCTAGTATAAAGTATCTAGACTCATGGAGTTATGTCCGTAATACAAATTTTTTTAGAATGCATCATCTTCACTGTCAGGAATTTGTCTTTCTCAAACCTTTTTTTTTTCCCCTGTCCCTAAGATACTATGAAAATTAAAAATATTAATAAAATTTATAGTAAAGTATAAGTTTTTGCATTATTGTCACTGAAATAATTATTATTGAATTAGCAAAAAGATTCCCCTAGATTTTAGAGTGGCTATAGTTTAAATGTTTTTCTTGTTGGAGTTCTTTTACTGACAGACTTCCAGAAAGGCCAAATTATTTTTTGTTTTTTTGAACTTCATATAATTTAAATATAATTGCACATAGCCAATTCTTTTAAAATACTTATATTGTGATTTCTTCATAAGTTAAGATTCTTAATATTAATCTTGCTAATTAAATGTTATTTTTTAACATGTTTGTATATTGCCCTTACTGTTTAGAGCTTTTTGGTTCTTACTATTAGTATTATACTACTCTTTTTCTAGAATCATAGAGGATGAGCTATTCTCAATAATTCAGTGTGTTGATTAGAGTTTTTATGTATACCATATGTGGATCACTTACATTTCAGAGAACTAAAATAGAATTTTTAAAAAACTCGGTCATTATATGGAATGCATTTTAATTTTTTCAGTGATTTAAAAGGCAACTTCAGGATCTTACAGTGCTTCAGTCTTTATGAGCAAGCAACTCTCAACATGACACCATGAAAATTTTCTGGTTATTTTAGTTTGCTTGTTTTTTGGGTTCTAGATTAATGGGCATTTCCTGTATTTGCTTCAGAGATAGAAAGGTCTATTTGTCACATGGAATAGTCAAGTGTGTCAGTTCCTTTAAGCCTTGAAATATTTTTGGTGTCTTTTTTTTTTTTTTTTTTGCTTTATATAGGAAACCACTAATTGCTTGTGTGGAGAAGCAGCTTTTAGGTGAACATTTAACAGCGATTCTACAAAAAGGTAAAATTTTCAATATAATTTATTTAAGTCATATCCTTCATGCTCTGCAATAATTTGTGTAAGTTTATATAATATATGTCTTTCATGCTCTGCATATTTATTCTTGGGTGAAGCAGTTTGTTGAAGTGGAACTCCCATCTGTGAAATCCTGATCTTAACTCTGACTTCAGCTCTGCTACTCCCTGGTACAAAAGCTGGGACGTCAAGGGTCTTGCCTATAACATGAAGGATTAGATTTTTGGATCCCTTCGCAGCCCTGATGTTCTATGAATCACTAGGAGTATTCATTAAACTCCTACTTTGTGCCAGGTTCTCTGATAGGTGCTGGGATACAAAAACAAAAACAACAAAAAAAAAGAACCAGTCCTTGCTCTCAGGGAGCTTATATTTTATCCAAGAGATCACTTAATTAACACAAGTAAGCGTAATGGTTTTTGTTTTTGTTTTTTTGGTGTGGCAGTTGGGGTTAAGTGACTTGCCCAGAGTCACACAGCTAGTGAATGTTATGTGCCTGAGGCTGAATTTGAACTCAGGTCCTCCTGACTTCAGGGCCGGTGCTCTATCTACTGCACTACCTAGCTGCCCTAACATAATGGTTTTTGTTTTATTAAACACTGATCTTAGATATGGTGGTGGTTCCATCATAGATGGTAAAAATTGTTGCAGATCCTGAGAGAAAGAGAATCTCAGCTGTTAAAATTGGAGGGGAAACTGAAGACAGATATAATTTTACTACTAAAACTTGTACCAAATGATTTTTGTGCTAGAAGGTCCCAAGAGACTTTTTATCACTGCTTTGAAATTTGATTAACAGGCAAAAGAATATAAAGAGTTAATAGTGCTATAATCTAATTACTTCAGAGAAGCAAGATGGAAAAATAATCTAATGCGCCTGAAGTTTTTGGCTTCCACTTTCACCAGTGACCAAAGACTTGACCACTTTACAAAGTCCAAATCCCCAGAACACTGCTCAACATGGACACCGGTGTGACTGAAGATGCATTAAATGTCACTCTCACCATCCGACTACTTATGCATGGAAAGGAAGTTGGAAGCATTATTGGAAAGAAAGGAGAATCGGTCAAGAAGATGCGTGAAGAGAGTGGTGCTCATATTCAACATCTCAGAAGGGAATTGTCCTGAGAGAATAATTACTTTGGCTGGACCCACCAATGCCATCTTTAAAGCTTTTGCTATGATCATTGACAAACTGGAAGAGGACATCAGCAGCTCTATGACCAATAGTACAGACGCCAGTAGACCCCCAGTCACCCTGGCTTGTGGTCCCTGCTAGCCAGTGTGGCTTTCTCATTGGAAAAGGAGGATGCAAGATCAAGGAAATAAGAGAGAGTACACATGGCAGGGGATGTGCTACCAAACTCAACTGGGTGGGCCGTCACTATTGCTGGCATCCCGCAATCTGTCATTGAGTGTGTCAAACAGATCTGCATGGTCATGTTGGAGATTGTCTCCTAGTCTCCCCCGAAGGGCGTGACCGTCCCATACCGGCCCAAGCCATCCAACTCTCCAGTCATGTTTGCTGGTGGTCAGGACAGGCAGCAACAGTGTGAGCTTTCCCCACACCACCCTGTCCTTGTACCTCAACCCTGACCTGGAGGGACTACCTCTACAGGCCTATAGCATTCAAGCACAGTATGCCCATTCCACAGCCAGATCTGATGAAGCTGTACCATTTGGCAATGCAACAGTCTTACTTTCCCATGGTGCATGGCAACACCAGATTCAGTGGCATTGAATCCAGTTCTGAAGAGGTGAAAGGCAGGCTTGGATGCCTTTGCTCAGACTACTTCTCATGAACTCACCATTCCAAACGACTTAATTGGCTGCATAATCGGGCGTCAAGGTGCCAAAATCAATGAGATTCGTCAGATGTCTGGGGCTCAGATCAAAATTGCCAATCCGGTGGAAGGATCTACTGATAGGCAGGTTACTGCTGCCAGCATTAACCTGGCCCAGTGTATAATCAATGTCAGGCTTTCCTCAGAGATGGGTGGCATGGGGAGTAGCTCTAACAATGCAGAGTCACCCATAACCCCCTTCTGTTCACCACCCGTGATCCATCTGTGTAGTTTCTGAACAGTCAGTGATTATAGGTTTTAAATAGTTTGTAAATTTTCAATTTCTATACAACTTTATCATCCACTCATGATTTTTTTACCTTTCTGTGTTAGCCGTTAACGCTAAGAACCATATTTAGTTTTATAAGTTTCCCCGTTTTTTTGTTTGTTTTGGTTTTTTTTTTTTGTTGTTGTTTTTCTGTTTTTGGGGGGGGGGGCTCATGAATTTTTTTTTCTGTTTTTGTCATTGAAAATGTAAGAGTGGAATATTAATACATTTCAGTTTAGTTCTGTAATGTCAGGAATTGTTTTTTTAAAAATTAAAAGATGGACTGGAACTTTTCCCTTGTGAATAGAAAAAAAAAATTAAGGTGTAGAAAAATTAGAAATTAAAAGTTAACAGAGCCATCAAAGAGAAGTAAAATGACCAAAAAGTACGAATTATTGGGATTTGTTATCCATGTCATAAACTACTAGTTGAAGAATTTGGGGTGTGAAACATGGAATAAACTGGCCCAGGAAGCACTTAATTCATGAGTTTCTTAGTAAGAAGTCTTTATATGACTGCTTGGTAGAATAAAATGTAGAGAGTACCCTGAAGACTAATTCTGCTTTTAAAAAATATTTTCAATTATTTGGATACCAGGACAATAAGCATTAAAAATGGAATGACTAGGGGCAACTATGTGGTGCAGTGGATAGAGTACCGGCCCTGTAGTCAAGAAGACCTGAGTTCAAATCCAGCCTCAGGCACATAACACTCACTAGCTGTATGAGTGTGGGCAAGTCACTTAACCCTAATTGCCTCACCAAAAAAAAAAAAATGGAATGACTATTAATTGACAAAAAAAAAAATTTTTAATCTCTTACAAAATGCTCATGTTTGAAGGAATTATAGAATTCTGGGGGGAAATTATGTCATTGTTCTTTTTGAGGGGCAAGTAAGTTTTATATCTAGTCTAAATAATGTATTCCTTTTTAAAAGCCTAGATTAAAAATTAATTTAATAGCAGTTGAGGCAGGAGCTGTAAGTTCTCTTGGGAGCTCACCATATTGGGAGTGAATTCAGTGTGGCTATCAATTGACTTAGCCCACTGGAGTGCAGAACTGCTGAGCTGAAGTGATCTTCCAGCCTCAGCCTCCTCAGCAGCAGGAATTACAGGTGTGACTTTTTACACCCAGCTGTTAAATAAATAAATGTATTCAATTTTATTTTTTAATTTCATCTTAGGACTTGATAACTTGCTTGATGAAAACAGAGTGCCTGATCTCACACAGATGTACCAATTGTTCAGTCGAGTAAAAGGAGGGCAACAGATACTACTGCAGCACTGGAGTGAATACATCAAGGTATTTCAGATCAGTGTTGTGGAAAATACTTAGCATTATTCTAAAATGAAATTCAGGCCTTGTATGTTTTTTATAATTATATACATTTTTTTCAGTCATCAGGATAGAGCTCTGGCCTTGGAGTCAGGAGGACCTGAGTTCAAATCCAGCCTCAGACACTTGATACTTACTAGCTGTGTGACCCTGGACAAGTCACTTAACCCCGATTGCCTCACCAAAAAGCAAAAAAAATCCCAAATTTCCGCACTAATGATGTCCAAAAGATATACACAGACATATGTATACATAGTCTGTATATGTATGTAGATATACACGTGCGCACACACACACATGCACATGCCTCATTCTTTACTGAGTCTTTGATAAGTGATGGATAGCGTGTTTGTTATTTAGTCCTCTGGAGTTGGCTGTGGTGTTGCAGTGTCCCTAAGCCTTTCGTGATTGTTCATTTTTGCAATTGTTGGCATTGTATAAATTTTCTGGTTCTATTCTCTTCACTCTGTATCAGTCCATACAAGTCTTCCCAAGTTTCTCTGAAACCATCTCTTTCATCATTTCTTTTATATACCATAATTTAATCAGCAATTTCCTAACTGATGGACATGCCCTAAATTCCCATTCTTTGTCTTTTTTGTATTTTGTCACTTTTGTACATCTTTAGAATTCATTTTACTTAAAACCAATCCCTAATCTATCCTTTCCTTCCTTTTCACCTTTCCCTCCTATTTTCCTTTTTTTTTTCTTTTTTTTAGGCAATTGGGGTTAAGTGACTTGTCCAGGGTCACACAGCTTGTAAGTGTCAAGTGTTTGGTCTGAGGCCAGATTTGAACTCAGGTCCTCCTGACTTCAGGGCCGGTGCTGTATCCACTGCGCCACCTAGCTGCCCCTTTATTTTCCTATTGAGGGAAATATGTCTGTACCCAACTCTTTAGGATCATCAAGATATAACAAAACCCCTCTTAGGCTTTCTAATTTCCATCTTAACTGGACTCCCTTTATGACGCTTGATAATGGTAGGGTTCAGAAGGGACATATATACATGTGTGTGTGTGTGTGTGTATATATATATAGATAGATACATACATAGATACAGATATATAGATATTTAGATATACATATACATATATTTGAATGTAAGCAGTTTATCCTTGTTTGGTCCTTTATAATTATTTGTGTTTACTTTTTTCTATTTCTCTTAATTTCTGTATTTAAACTTCAGAATTTCTCTGTAACTCTAATCTTTTCATCATAAATTCTTAGAAGGTCCTCTATTTCATTAAAAATTTTTCCTCTCTGTAAGATAATGCTCAGTTTTGCTGGGTAACTATTCTTGGCTATAACCCTATAATCTTTGCCACAGTGGTTGCTGCTAAGCGTGTGTGATCTTGGCTGTGGCTCCTGGATTTGTATCTTCCTGGCCACTTGCAATATTTTTCTTTGTTGTGGTAGCTCTGGATTTTGTCTGTGATATTCCTGGGAGTTTTCTTATGGGGATTTCTTTCAGGAGGTGACCACTGGGTTCCTTCTGTTTCTGCTTCACTGTCTTGTTCTTAGAGATCTCCATACCTTTCTTTTAAAATTTTTTGAAATTGGATGTCTATACTCACATTCCAGTAGTCCAGTGATCTTTAAATTTTTTTATCTGTTTTTCCAGATCATTTCTTTTTGCTTTCAGATACCTTACATTTTCTAAGTTTTCAGTCTTTTGGCTTTCTTTTCATATTTCTTGTTTTTCCATAACAGTCCATGCTAATTATCAGAGAGTTTATTGCTTGGACGAGATTTTGTTCCTCTTGTATCAAGCTATTTTATTCCCTTTTTAATTCGTTCTTTCACAGCTCTTTTTTCTTTTCCAATTTTTTCCTCTACCACTCTCGTTTGATTTATAAAAACATTTTTTAACTCTTTCTTTATCTGTCCAATAATTCTAGTTGAATTTGTGCCCAATCTGTGTTTTTCTTTGAAGCTTTCCTTGTACCTATTTTGTAGTCATTCATTTTCTGGATTTGTGTTTTGAGCATCCCTTTCACCATAATAATTTTCTATGGTGGGGTGTTTTTGTTGTTTGCTCATTCATCCAGCTGACTTTGGACTTGATGTTAGGCGTGGCCTCTGCATACTTCTGGAACGGAGGTCTGGACAGGTCTTGCAGCTGTTTTGTGGAGTTATTTAGTGTTGTGTTAATCCAGGATCTCAGGGAAAGCTCAGGCTGGGGACTTGCAAAATTTCATTGATCCTAAAGGGTCTGTTCCAGGGCAGAGTCTGTTTGCTTCCTGCCTCATTTGAGCCCTCCAAGCTCCTGATCTGGGGTTAGGTCTAGGCAGCAGTGCTGCTAGACTTAGCCTTGATCAGCCATCTGGAAGCTCTGTTGGTTCGTAGGGACAGAATTACAGGCTCCTCTTTGGTCTAGGATTCTACCCTGCTTTTTCCTCTGCAGGCTGTAGACCTAGCTAGAAGCTGGAAATAAGACCCCACTCTGCTAATGCTTGCTTCTGAACTCGACTCTTTTTCATAAAACTGTCTAGGACCTCCCTCTCTGGGAACAGCATCCTGGGCTCAGGTCCTCACCTCACTGTACCCTGTCTTTGTGACCTAGAAGTGTGGTATAGGCAACCAAGCTGCAAGTTAACACCTGTTCACTTACTGGACCTGCTTTTTGAGTCTGGGACCTACTCTTGCCATGGTGCCTAAAGCTGGAATGCTACATGTACAACCTACTTCTGGATGGACCGTATTCCCTAGTATCCACAAACTTCTGTCTTTCTCCCTGTTCTGACCTGGGCTAGACAGATTACTCACTGTGACTTTTTCTTGAATTTCCCCATCAGGATTTTGTCTGGTACATTTTCTAGAGCTATTTGCAGAAGTTTTGAGGGTGAGCTCATTTATACTGCTTCCTGCTATATCACTATCTTAGCTCCTTCTCTTAGTCTTCAGAATTATTGTTAGTTTTTGCTCCATATCTTAATTTTCAGAGTTGATGTTAGTAAGTGTACAGTTGTGATGAATTTGAACTCTTAATTTTCTTACATATACTGCTATCATATCTTAAGATGACATTACAAATTATTAGTTATTGTATAAGCACATATGATTAAAAGAATTGTAATCATGCTGCATATAAAGACTATTCTTTGGGGCAGCTAGGTGGTACAGTGGATAGAGCTCTGGCCTTGGAGTCAGGAGGACCTGAGTTCAAATCCAGCCTCAGCCACTTGACACTGACTAGCTGTATGACCCTGGGCAAGTCACTTAACCCTGATTGTCTTATCAAAAAGCAAAAAAAAACAAAACCAAAACCCAAAAACCAAACTATTCTTTGTGGCTTTAAACTGGTTTTAATTTTTAAGACATGACTTTTTATATTTCCACTTCTAAAACTTAAGATCTTCTGCCTTTATACAAAAAGACTAATGTACAATAACTAATGTAACTAGAAGCAGAAGAAAGACTAGATAGTAGGGGGAAAAAAATCTTTGCAGTAAATAAGTCTGAAGGGAGGTCTTATATACAAAATTCCAGTGAATTAACACATAACACATAACACAGTTGCCAAATGGTTAAAAAATAGGAATAATTTTCTTTCTTCTTCCCTCCTTCCCTCTCTTAGTCTGGAAGTACAGCGGCCAATCATAGGCCCATTCTCAAAATTGACTTGAAGGGAAGTGTTGATATTTGTTTCCACCCTGGACCAGTTTATTCTTTTGGCACCTTAGTGGTACCCCTTCCCAGGGGCTCACCATATTGTGGTGGGGCTAGACACCCAGTCTTTGCTGTGGCTAAGAGCTCCCAGTCTCAATTTCCCCCAGCCAATACTATAGGTTATGTGCTACCACCCCCAGCTGACTAATAATTCTCAAAAGAAAAATCCTGTTCAGAGACATTTGTCAAAATAGTTAACTTTTATAGTATGAAAATTACCTCAGAAATTGAACCATGAACTTGGCCTTATTTTCATTACTAGATAAGAAAGGTTTAGTTTGCTTAAGCAGGTCTTTTTTCTTTATTTTAATGAATGTTAATAGACTGCAGAATTATTCAGCATTTTTAAGTTACTTTAGACTTGGCACTTTCAAGATAAAATTCACATAAGGTTATGAAAAATTCATTTCTAAGCCCCTCTCTATTTTAAATTGTATGTTTGATATAAACATAAGAAAATAATTTTAGATGTAGCGTATGATTTAGTATTCATTTGTTTTTACAGACTTTTGGAACAACAATAGTAGTTAATCCTGAAAAGGACAAAGATATGGTACAAGAACTGCTAGATTTTAAGGATAAAGTGGACCACATCATAGAAGTATGCTTTCAGAAAAATGAAAAATTTATTAACTTGATGAAAGAATCCTTTGAAACATTTATCAACAAGAGACCAAATAAGCCCGCAGAACTAATAGGTAAGAAAAGAATATTTCCATAAAACATCTTTTAAACATTTTTAGAAAAAAATAGAGGAAAACTCAGGCAAAAGACAAATTAATTGAAACATGAATATAAAATATGCATAAGATTTACTCTACAAATAAAATTCTCTTTCTGGAGAAAAATTCTCATGCCCTTATCATCATTCAGACTTGGATTTTCAAAGAAAACCATTGTGAAGTAACTCACTAACCACATGAAAACAGATATTCCATTAAGAAATTTTAGTTTGACTTCCAAAAATGGAAATATTCAATGGAATGATGAATAAATGTTGCCCATTTTAGACTTACTTGGATACAAAAGATTTCTTAATATATGTAAGTTGTAATAACTTCAGAGCTGCAGTTTATTAAGACTGAATGTGCCAGAATGTATATAATTTCCCATCCTACCAACTGAAGGAAACTTATTAGGTAATTTAATTGAGATGGCATGTTATATGTCATTACCTAGACTTTAGATATGAGTACATCTGTGAGACTCGGTGTATAATGTCCTAGACCATCTCTGTCTTAAGGGCCACATTCTTTTTTTTCATCTTTGTATCATATAGTCCGTAGAGGGATTAAATTAGATGAGATTTCACAAGCTAACAAGATTATCCACTGGATGCTATTAAAGGTACCCTTGATTGTTTATACCAGGAGGAAGGAGAGCTAACCTTTTTTCTTTTCTCTTTTTTTTTTTAACTAGTATAGCTCTACTTATCAGAGAGAGTCACTCTGTACTCATAAATAAGAAGGCACATACTCTTGAAAGCACAATACCTTGAACATTGGAAATATTTCATGTTTGTTGAATTGAGAGGAATAATTTAAAATGAAAGCAAATTTAGAATCACTCGTTTACAAAATAATTAACTGCTGATGTCAGAATGAATAATTCAGGATTCCTAGAAGCATCATTACTTAGGAGGCATTAAAAGAGTTCATGAAATATTTTCTTAAATATATGTATCACTCAGGAAAATTATTTGGCATATTTTATACTCCACCATCATCAATTTCTGCAACTAAGGATTCCTCTGGGTTTTACACTTACTGTCCCTCTCTAAGAGTGCTGTTCGTAGTTTGTCTGCGTTATCCTGAGAATGAAGATCTCTTATGTGTAAAGCCTTTACACGCCTGTGTAGCAGACCAGAAAGTTTCTATTTAAATTACCCAACCCAAGACCCAAAGAAAGCCCTTTTTCCCTGGTAGGAGAGAAAGTCCTAAATTAGAGAAAATATAATCTGAAAATCCAACATTTCATTGTCATTATTAATATATGTATTATTAAATATGAAAATACCTTCCATTTCACAGTATATCATAATATTGCTTGGCCAGCATAATGTAGTATATACAGGGCTGATTTTGAAGTCAGGAAAACATAGTTCACATCTCACCTCTGACACTCTGGAATCCAGTACAGTCCTCATAACCTCAGTGATCCTCTCTCAAAGTAGAGCTGGTTGCAGAAGAGTTGGTTATCTATATTGGTGCAGGGAAATTCATTCCTCACAGGAAGTTAGTTCCCTATACCCATGAAATCAAAGATCTGAACCACAAAACTATTTCAAAATGATACTTAGTCTAATTATGTTTTTTGGATTTTTTATTTTTAAATGCATATATAAAAGTAATTTTCAATTATTTTTATCTCTTAGCAAAACACGTTGATTCCAAGCTAAGAGCTGGTAATAAAGAAGCAACAGATGAAGAACTAGAAAGAATTCTTGACAAAATTATGATAATATTCAGATTTATTCATGGTAAGAAATAAGTTACATTGAACAAAATTGTATCTTCAGAAAAGTTAGTGGTGCTAGATTGATTAAAATTCCTTTATTTGGGCCTGATTTTTATTTAAATTATGTCAATTTTAATAACTGGGGAATTTTAAAAACTCGGGAAAAAAACTGTAGTCATTTAAATGTCATAAAAAGTTGGTTTTGTTCCTAAATAAATACTACTCAGGGATCTTTCGATTGAAAAACATCTTTGAATATTAAGTTCTCCTTATAACTCAAGATGTAATTTTATTCTTATTTTGACCCATAAATAGGTAAAGATGTTTTTGAGGCATTTTATAAGAAAGATTTGGCAAAAAGACTCCTTGTTGGAAAAAGTGCTTCTGTTGATGCTGAAAAGTCTATGTTGTCAAAACTAAAACATGGTGAGCAATTGCAACAATAAGATAGTCTTTCCCATCTTTATTCTTGGAGATTCTTCTCAATTAATATTTTTACTTCTTTTATATTTCTTACAACCCTTTTACTTTTGGGACAGAATGTGGTGCTGCTTTCACCAGCAAGTTGGAGGGGATGTTCAAGGATATGGAACTCTCCAAAGACATTATGATTCAGTTTAAACAGGTACATTTTGTTGACTAAGTAGATGGGCAAATGATTTTTAAAATGTCTTATCTGTGTTTTTTATGGAAAAATTAAGTTATTTTAAAAATAATGTATTTGTTTTTAGTACATGCAGAATCAAAGTGACCCAGGTAATATAGACCTGACAGTAAATATACTCACCATGGGATACTGGCCAACATACACACCCATGGAAGTGCATTTAACTCCAGAGGTAAGTGCCCTAAAAAGAAGTATTTTTATAGGCCATCTATTGATAGTTTCTTGGAAGCCGAGTATGTCTGAGAGCTACCATCTTAGCATAAACTCTTCTATACAGACATATTGTCAAAAGGTTATCTTGGGCAATTTGAAAATAATTGCTTTCTCTTTCCACCAATTTCATAGTTTATCACTGTGTGACTTTCTCTTAACCTCATGACTGTGAAGGTAAGAATCAAACATTGACATTATCATAGATAATGCAGTGAATAGAATGCTGAATTAGGAGTCCAGAAGACCTGGGCTGAAATCTAGCCTTAGACACTTATCTACATGATCCTGGGCACCTGGGACCTTCTGTCTGCCTCAGATTCCTCATCTATAAAATGGTGATAATGATAACACTACTTCCCAGAGTTGTTGTGAAGATAAAATGAGATAGTATTTGGAAAGCACTTTTTGAATCTTAATACAGTATATATATATATATATACATATATATGCTAACTGTTGTTATTATTTATGTAAATATTACCTGCATGTAGATCTGGGCACTATACAAAGTTGCCTTAATCAAGTATGACTACTGCTGTTTCTGAGAGCTTATAATTTAAGTTGTGACATTTATAGAGTCTGATAATATGCCTACAAACTGAATAGATATTGAACAAATGGTTTTGTTGTTGTTGTTCAGTCATTTCAGTCATGTCTGACTCTCTGTGATCCCATTTGGGGTTTTTCTTGGCAAAGATACTGGAGTAGTTTGCCATTTCCTTTTCAGCTCGTTTTACAGATGAAACTGAGGCAAACAGGACTTGCCCAGGGTCACACAGCTAGTAAGTGTCTGAGGCTAGATCTGAACTCAGGAAGATAAGTTTTCTTGATTCCAGGCCCGGCACTCTGTCCATTTTATTTAAACAAACTGGGGTCAAAGACCAACAGAAAAATTATTCATTGGACACTTCATCTTTAACTTTATTAGCATACTGACCATTATGGGGTCAAATATGGATAATTCATGGTAATTGATAATCATTATTATTAAAAATTTAAACTTAAATCCAGAGGATGTTGGAAAATCATAAGTATTCTAAAGCATTGGGCTGTTTATAGTGATAGTAGCACCTTGAAAATGTCGGTTCACTTTGAACAGATTCAGAATATCTTTTGTACAGTTCCTGAGAAGAATTAGCACTATTCAATTGTATCTAGAGTAACAGAACTTTTCTATTTTGTACGTTGTTCACCGAATAGCAAGGATTCTAGCACAACTTTCATTAAACAAGTTTAAATAGATTCATCCTTTGTTTACTTATTTTTTTTAGCATATAATTTTCCAATTAGAAAATGACTGAACCATGCATTGTAATTTTGAAAAATGGTGGCATAAATAGCCAGTAACACTTCTAACAACACAGCCATCAAACAGAAAACAAAAAACTTTATTTCATCTAAGTTAAAAAATAATTTTCATAAAAGCTATGTGAAGAAGACTGAGCTACTCAGTTATTCTTTTTAAGTAAATCTGAGATGTTTGGTTTTTCATTTAAATCTAGACTGTGAAGAAATTTTGGTTTTTAGGTAAATAGAATTTTGCATAAGTAAGTTTTTCCCTTTTATATTGACAGATGGTTAAACTTCAAGAAGTATTTAAGACATTTTATCTTGGAAAACACAGTGGTCGAAAGCTTCAGTGGCAAACCACTTTGGGACATGCTGTTTTGAAAGCAGAGTTCAAAGAAGTATGTTAATTGAGCATCCGTTTCATGTACTTTGTTTCGTAAGCATAATCATTTTATCAGGATTTTTAAAAAATTTTAAACAAATAAAGTTTCTCTCTCCCCCTCCCCCCATGGAAATATCAGTATGAAAAAAATGGTGATTCTTCTCTAGAATGTAAGAAAAGGAAATCATCCAGTAGTGACACTTAATTCTATACAGTAGGCTATGTTCCTTACCTTAGGCAACTTCAGCAATTAAGGAATTGCCAAAGAACAGGGGAAACAATACAAATACCTTGTCTTTAAAAATAAATTAGTTTCTAATAAATTAAAACTTAGTGCTGTAATATAATACTTGCAATTAAAATTTAAACTTATGTCGTGTTTCCTAAGGTATTAAATAACCAGAATGTTCCTCAGTTACATTTTGTTCCATCTTTATCTGTATTAGAAAAGGCAAGAACAATTATTTTCTGGTTTATCTTAAGGAAAATCTGCTATAAATTTTAAACATCAAAATAATGGCATGAGCTTTGATAACAATTTAATTTTTAAAGAAATGCTTTTGTGTGCATATGCCCAGTAATCTCTTTATCTTCCGTTTTGCAGTATGCTTCTGGTACATTGTTTTGCACAAACTCATTTTCTGTCTAAGTAGGCATGATAAATAATTCTGAATCAAAACTAGCTCAGATGATCTCACCTGTTTTATTTGGTAAAGAATTATTTCCCCCAAAAAACTGACCCATCTCTGAGAGAGATTCTTTGTAGGGAAAAAAAAAAGTTAAAGTAAGTAAATGGAGCCAAACTGAGCTTCTGTTTGGTGGTGTATATCAGACTTACACAGGGAACCTGGGCTTAAAGAGTCTCATGCCTTTCAACAGCAGCCTTTGGGAAAATAGTAAGGAAGTTAGTAATCAAGGACTTTTGGTCCCATTAATGTGGGAATTCCTTCTACCTATACATATGGCAGCCAGCTGCTAATTTGTAGCCTAAATGGGAATATTTAATAAAAATAATTTTTTTTCTTCCTTCATAACTTTGGTTCTCCCTGCTCTTCCCCCCTTCCTTTTTTTTTTTTTAAATGACTAAGCCTGTGATTTCATTGGGGAGCTCCTAGCAAGGAATTTCCTCTTAACAGTGCAGACAGGCTACAATTAATAGCATGGTATTAGAGGTCTAGGAATTTAGACACTGGGAAGTTGATATTTGAATCCAGGTCTTCCTAACTTTGAACTATCTAGCCACTAAGCTCCCCCTTCCTCTCTTCTGTTATTTATTTTGTCTTTTATTCCTTCTTAAATCTATTGGTTAACTTTTGAAGAAAATGCCCATTGACTTTAAAAGGAACTCAGTAGGGTAAGGACAAGAGATTAGCATGGGGGTGGGGTTGGGAGGCCAGGGGGTATACTGTTTCAGAAATAAATATTAATTTATTTACCTTTTTTTTCCCCTTAGGGAAAGAAGGAGTTTCAGGTGTCACTCTTCCAGACATTAGTGCTCATCATGTTTAATGAAGGAGATGAATTCAGTTTTGAAGAAATAAAAATGGCCACTGGTGTAGGTAGGGAAAATGACTTTGTATATTCACAGTATCCAGATACCATCTTCAAAGCACTTATTTGTTTCTGGTGCTGTTCTAGATGCTATATCATTTTACCCTTATTTCTTGAGGAATTCAGTACCTATTTCACTTTCTTTCCTCCCCAAACTCCTGCCTTGATGCTATGGGATTGAACTTTCATGGCAATACTACCTCAGACTCCCTTGAGAGCCATTTCCAGTCATCCTAATCTGTATCTTGCCCCTGGACCCAGAAGGCTCTGGAGGAGAAAGTGAGGCAGGTGACTTTGTGTAGCCCTTCTTCACTTAAATTCAATTCACCTGGAAGTCATGGCATCACCTTCCTGATGTCATGGAACCTTTGAGAAAGAAGGACAAACAACAACAACCTCAAATTCCCTAACCTCTCAACTCTTCCATCTCCTCAGATACCATTACATTCTGTGTCAGCTACTCAGGAATAGTCACGCCCTGGCTGTCACCATTAACCACTTCTTTGATCAGAAAATCTGAGAATCTTCTATCTGACTATAACCTCCTAACATTCCATCTCTTCCCTACTCCTCACCCTCAAAGCAACCTCCTGTCCCTCCACCCTCTGAGTACTTAGTGCTTTTCTATGACTTCTCTTTGCTCCCTTCCCAACATTGACCCTATAGTTAACCAATTCGCCATCACCCTATTCTGTACTGTCATATACTTATCCTGTTGCTGCTTAACTCTTGCTGAAATCCAACCTTGGATTGCTGCCACCATCTGTATCAGAATGGAGCTTGAGGAAATCAGGCAATTGTGCTGATTAGATACATGATGAATTGTTATTTAACTTCAACTGGGCTCTCTCTACAATGAGGCAATGCTTTTATAACCCTAGTTAGTGTTATTTGTTACTTTCCACAGCTATTCCAAATTCTCTTATCTTCTCAAGCCTCTTCTATACATCTCCCTTGCCTATCCTTTCCATTGAAGATTATACTTCCACTTTACTGAGAAAATTAAAGTCTTTTTTTTAATGAGCTCTCTATCTTAATCTTAAAACCTAAACATCACTCCCGTCTCTCTTCTTTCCCTGTTTCTGATAATAAGGTGACCCTCCTTGCCAAAGCTAATCCTTCTAGATGTGTCCTTGATTCTGTTCCCTTCTGTCTTCTCCAGTAGATTTCCCCCCCTCAGTCATCCTTTCTCTCTCTTTGTAATCTTTAAGCTTTGTTACTCCCTTCAGCCATGTCTATGTCTCCTTAACTCTTAAAAAACCTCCCCCAGACATATAGTGAATTGAGCAAAACCAAAAGAACAATTAAAAGATGCTTGGTCTTTGGAAGAAAAGCTATGGCAAATCTGGACAGCATACTACTAAAAAGCGAAGACATCGCCTTGCTGACAAAGGTCCATATAGTCAAAGCTATGGCTTTTGCTGTAGCAATGTAATAGCTGTGAGAGTTGGACTATAAGGAAAGCTGAGTACTGCAGAATCAACACTTTCACATTGTGGTAGTGGAGAAGGTGTTTAAGAGTCCCTGGACAGCAAGGACATCAAATCAATCAATACTTAAAGAAATTAATTCAGGCTATTCACTGGAAGGTCAAGTATTGAAGCTTAAATACTTTGGCCACATAATGAGAAAATGTGATTCATTGGAAAAAGATGTTGGGAAAGATTGAAGGCAAGAGGAAAAGAGGATGAGATGAATAGATAGTGTCATGGAAACAACAAACAAGCTTGGACAGACTTTGAGAGATAGTAAAGGATGAAAAGGCCTGGCGTGCTGTGGTTCATGGGGGTCATGAAAAGTTGGACACAACTGAACAACAAAAAAGCACAATTTATACAATGAGTGTAAGGGATAAAAATTTTGATAGACTTAAACTCTGATGATCAGTATGGTAACCAGTCATGACTCCAGAAGTTCAATGATGAGTAGAGAACTGATGGACTGTAGTTGCAGATTAAAATGGAGAATTTCAGACACGACTAATTAAGCAGAAATTTGTTTCAGTATAATTGTTACAATTTTTATTTGTGGATGGGGGCAGTTGTTGGGGATAGTGATAGTGAGGGCAAGAAAAGAGTAGGAGGAACTTGAGAAGGGAACACCAGCAAGAACAGTTGCCATATTAAATGTGTGTGCACAAGCACATGAGTGCTGTGTGTGTCATGGGGTAAAAACTTTAACTAGACCCTAGAGTTTCCTCAATCTGTGAACCTCTCTCTCTCCTCCCTAGAAAAACCTGTCTCTATTTATTGCGTCTACTTCCTCTCACTCCCTCTTCATTCCCTTGCACCCTGGCTTCTGACTTGTCCCTCAGTTGAAACTGCTCTTTACTGATGATTTCTTAATTGCCTAATCTGATGGTCTTTTCTCACTTCTTATCCTTGACCTCTGCTGCATTTGACATTATTGACTGCTCTCTCCTCCTGGACACACTAATAGGGGGTTTCATTACTCTCCTGGGCCACCTCTTACCAATCTTACTACCTTCTCAATCTCCCTTGCAACAGAACTCTTAACTGAGTATTCCCCAAGATCCTAGCTGTGTGACTCTGGACAAGTCACTTAATCTCCCTCAGCCTCAGTTTCCTCATCTATAAAGTGGGAATAAATTATTTTACTACCTCACAGATAATCTCTATATAGAAGAATTATAGACTTGTATATGCAGCCCTGGCCTCTCCCTTGAGCTTCAGTCCCATGTGACCAGCTACGTAATAGACATTTCAAACTGACTGACCTGGAGATATCTCAAACTTACCATGTCCCAACTAGAGGTATTCTTTGCTTCCCAAATCCTCAATCTCCCAGGTTCATGACCTCTGAATTACTCCCAGCTCCTCCTTCCCTCTCACCTCACATAATGATTAGGTTTCCAAATCAGGCCATTTTCCCTTCTCTGCATCACTCCTATCTGTCTTCTCACATGACTATGTAGGGGCTGATATGCCCTCTCTTTACACAGTCACCAACTTGGTGTAGGCTTGCATTACCTCTATCTAGAGCACTGTAGAGGCTTCTAATCAGTATCCCTGCTTCAAGTCTCAGAGTTGCCAAACTGATTTTCCTGCAGCATTTATCTGACTTATCCCTCCCCTACTCAGTTAACTCCAGTGATACCCTATTCCCTTGAGATAAAATAAAAATTCCTCTGTTTGGCTTTTAAAGCCATTAATAATTTGGCCCCACCCTTTCTCATTATACCTGCTTTCCTTCCTATACTCTGTGATCCAGCCAGATGGGCCTTCTCTTTGTTCCTCACTCATGGCATGCCATCTCCCACCCCCCCATGCCTTTGTAGTATCTGCTTTCAGTGCCTGAAATGTAACCCCTCCTCTCCACCCCCTCCTAATGGATCCCTCTCTTCAAGACTATTCACACAACACCTTACAGTGCCTGGCACATAGTACGTCTGTAATAAAATTTGACTGATAGGTAAATCGGGTCCTCTTCTTATGTATAAAATGGTGATTCTTTAATTGTATTATCAGAATGACTTTAAGTAATTACAAATGTATTATTCAATTAAATGTCAGGTTGTAACTACCTTTTTTTCCTATATACAGAGGACAGTGAATTGCGAAGAACCTTACAGTCTTTGGCTTGTGGTAAAGCACGAGTACTGATTAAAAGTCCAAAAGGCAAGGATGTAGATGATGGAGACAAATTCATCTTTAATGGAGATTTCAAGCACAAATTGTTTAGAATAAAGATAAATCAAATCCAGATGAAAGAAACTGTATGTATTAAATTCTGTATTTTATTTTTATATTCCTATGATGTACTTATTAAAGAGTCAGTTCATTTATTTTATGATCAAATTTCCTTGTGTTAATACAGGTCAAAAATATATGCCAAAGTATTCTATATTGTGACTGCATTAGATTTTTTTAAAAGATTTTTAATGTTCATTATAAATGATAGAAGCTTACTATCCAAAGTTTATAAGAAACTGATACAAACATAGTCAATAATGTAATTCACATTGTTGAAGATAAACAACTCCTACATAAGGAGATAATCAGTAGTACAGGATCACATACAAGCATACACAGCCTCACTAATGACTAAAAATAATTTTGTCATCATTATGTAACTATTAATGATAAAACTCAGTTTGGGTGAGGCCTAATAAAAGGAAGAGATGTGACAAAATAAGTCAACATTTGTATGTCTGTTGCCACTATAAATTAGCACATACTTTGTAGAAGTCAGGGTAGCAATGTATAAAAAGTACAAACTGTCCATACTGACTAACCTTATAATTCTAGTTTGGGGAAATATAACCCTAGGAAATAAACCACAAAGGGAAATTTTAAGAAGTTTACCAAGATTCCTGGCATTGCTGTTTATATTAGTAATAAATTGGAAACAACCTATTTACTGCACCATTGAAAAGTATGAGCTAGACCCCCTTATCTTTCTCCTAGTTCAGCCATGTGCACAAAACACATGTCCACTACCATCTCACCCCACCTCTCCTACAGGGGCCCAGCAGGGTGCTACAGTACTAAAATGATCTTCATTGTGTGTCAGTCTTGGTTCAAATTGATTTGGTCTGTCTGGATTGCCAGCTACTGCTTCTTTATAAGCTTTGCTGTAAGCTCTGAAGATTCCAAGCAATGTTCTCCGTTTCTGCTATGTCCTACCTCTAAGCCTATGACAGCTCTATGATAAAGACCCAAATCTCCTAAATTTTAAGCTTAAACCTAAGGGCTTTGAGGTTTTCCCAGTTGGCCCCTATGCCAGAATAGACAGAAATTGATTCACTCCTTTCTCCTTTAGTAACTGTTACGACCCTCCTCTCTCTGTTCAAAACTTGAGGCCTCACCCCTGTGAATCAGTGGTAGAAAGTCTCCTCCATTCCTCAGTTCCTTGGAAACTCTGACTTTCTCTCTCTTGTAGGATTTGCTGTTCCTGAGCTCAAGACCTGTCAGTGTCCTCTAGCTCTAATTTCCTCCCCAGCCTCCTTAGTTCAGGCACTCAGACTGATTGGGACATTTTTGCCTGTCTGTTCTTATCCCACAGCATTCTGATTAGAGGGGTTTGCCCTCACTTCTGTGGTGATCCGAGTGGCCCACGCACAAACCAACGTCATTCCCAAGTTGGGCGTTCTTCAGGAAGTAGGGTCCAGGCCATTTCCTAGGTGTGGGTTTCCCGGCTCAGCCTCAGTCTTTATTATCGCATAACTTTCATAACAAATATAAATATGAGAAAAAATTATGAAAAGTAGGGGCTAATCAGACTTTTAATATATTGACATTATGGAATATAGAGAGGTGAATAGTTAAAACAATTTTAAATATGTGGACTATGTGTCCATTTAGGGAAGCAGATATATATCTGTTTCCCTGAATATTTTTATTTTTATATTATAATTTTACCATTTAGGATTATTAATCCTAAATGGTAAAATTACAATATAAGAAGCACAGGATTTGAATTTCAAGTACCTATATCCAAATCCTAACCCTGTGTGTAACTTATTGCCTGTGTGATATCTGGCAAGTTACTTTAACCTTTCCAAGCCTGTTTTCCTCATCTGAAAAATAAAGCTAGATTAAATTATCTCTATAGTCCTTACCAGATCTGAATCAACAAACCTGTGAAAATTATAGTATGGTAAAGCAAGATACTTTCTATTGAATATGCTATATAACTTAATTATAATATATAATGAATTATACTCAATGCAAAGAAAAGCCAACAAAATAAAAACTATTGGAGTATCTCTGTTTTAGCAGAATTTGACCTTTATTATGTCATTTACTCAAATATAGGGTTGAAATCTTTTCTCACTCAGAGTGGTCTTTTTTTAATTAAAAAAGACAGAATGAGTTTTTAAAAAGGCTTTTTTATTATTATTTTAATCTAATCTTGGAATTGAAAATAACTCCCCCTAAATATTTTTACTTGGGCTTAGCGTTGTGTGGCATGTCTATTTGTATAATAAAGGCTTTCTACAAGAAAAGAAATTGTAGCAAAGTCACTTCACCTGATTAGAAATCTGGTTTTTAGTCTCTTAAGATTTATATCACTTTCTTACATGAATTATTTACAAAGAAAACATTGCAAAGATAATTTTTTTAAACATAGAATTAAAATAATTCAAATATTTGACTTATTTATGTACCTAGAGTTGTTACAAATGGCAAAATAAAGAGGTTCAGATAAGAAATATCCTAAAATTCTTGCATAGATAAAAATTAATTATGTATGTAGATTGCTGATTTATTGCCTTGATTTATGAAATTTTCTTTCATATCTCAGCGAGTGCAGTTAGGTTTACCTATCCGTGAGTTCATAGACATAGGGCTGTAAATTAAAAGCTAGAAGGAATCTTCAATGTCATCTAGTCCAACCCCCTCATTTTCATATAAGGAAACCCAGAGGAGGGGAAGTGACTTACGTTAGACCATACTGGTTATGGTAAGTGCTGTGACTCCAAACCCTGCACTCTTTCCCAGTGTGCCACACTCCTACATTAACACTCCCCTCCCCCCAAGTTCTTCTCTATGAAATGTTCATTTGTGATGTGTTCAGATTGATACCTCTGATCTGCTCATGTGAGAGGCAACAATTCAGAGTGCTAGACTGAGAGTCAGGAAGACCTTTGGTCACATCACTTAGCCTTCCTGAGCCTTGATTTCCTCATCTGTAAAATGGAGGGTTGTTGAAATAATCAAATTAAAAGTGTATGTATATATAAATATGTATATGTAAGGTACTTGCTAAATCTAGAGTGCTCTATGAATGTCCATTATTAGTTCTTTTCCATAGTAGGCATGTAATCTGTTGATTTCAATATTTTTTTTCCTGAGAAAAAAGGTTTTAAAAGACTTTAATTACACTTAAAATTTTAAAATATACAGAGGCAGCTAGGTAGCACATTGTTAGCACATTGAATAGAGTACTGGGCTTGGAATCAGGAAGATCTGAGTTCTAATCCAGTCTCAAATACTTACTAAGTTATGTGAATCCCTGGTGAGTCACTTAACCTCTGTCTGAATCAGCTTTAAAATGGAGGGGATAATAGCACCTACCTCTCAGGCTTGGTAAGGATCAAATGAGATAATATTTGTAAAAGTCTTGACATATAATAGGTGTTATATAAGTTATATTTTATTACTTAATGAATTAAAAATTGGTTTCATTAAAAATCTTATAATGCAGAACAAAATAATCTATATCTGATTTGTGATTTGGCCTGCCATGTAGAATTTTTTTCGCTAGAATTCAAGGATGTTAAAGAACTAATTTTGAAAAGTTTCCTATATTTCATTATTTTGTAATTATTAAACTTTAGGTTGAAGAACAAGTTAGCACCACAGAACGAGTGTTTCAGGATAGACAATATCAGATTGATGCCGCTATTGTACGAATAATGAAGATGAGGAAGACCCTTGGTCATAATCTTCTAGTTTCTGAATTGTATAATCAGCTGAAATTTCCAGTAAAGGTAAATATAACATCTTCAAATTGAATTACAGTACTCAATTATATTTTATTAACTAACCATTGGTCAAGTATGTTTTGTTCATTTGACTATCAAGGAATTGATTCATAATCTCATCACACATATCAACTGAGCATGCGTCACAAAAATTAACATCTTCTTTTGAACTGAGTATAGAAACATAAGTAATGGTCAGACCTTTAGTCCAGATTTTTTAAAATTCTCTAACAGTGAGTCTGCTGATATTTTCAGGGAAAAGATGGATACTGCTTAGTCTTCTGCATGGACTTTTCCTCAATATGTGTACACTGCGACCTTCTCAGAGAATTCAGAAGGTCACTGCATGTGGTTACTTTAAAAGTTAACAAAAGTAACATGGATGGAAGGGATTTTCACAATTTATTGTTGAAAATTTTTCCATTTTACATTAGTTAGCACCTTCTAGAATATTTTCTGTAGAACTTGGGAAAGAATTCAGAGGATAACAGAAATGATTACAGGTGAGGAAGATAAAGTGGCAAACCATATTAGTCTCTTTCTTCTCAATCCTGTTTCCAAGATCCTAACCTGAATTTTTCTGGGACCGGCTTTTGATTAATTCTCTTTGCACTGTGCTCTCAGATTTGGTTTACTCTCTGATTTCAACAAGGAGGTAATAATCCATAATCATATAGCAAGTAATGTCAGAGTTAATGGTATGATATCTAACTCATTCCAGATGGAAAAAAGCTGGATGACTTAATAGGTGTGGTCTTATTCAACCTCTTTTAAGTAGCCATGCTTAATGCTGATGACAAAAAGTTTTCAGTGATGCGCTATCCAAGGATGTGTAAATTAAGCCAAGATAGAGAAAATTCTTCTGAAAATATTTCCCTCACTAAATCTCCACTATCTTTTTCTAATATCTCTATTTCTGCTGCCCTACCTTCCTATGTTTTCTTCTTCCCATTCATCTCATGTCTTTCATATCTCCCTAAGTGATTCTAATACTTGACTCATGTGAAAGAGGTGTTTTATAGAATTGGAATCCTTTAACTGGATGACAATTGTCTATCCTAGTGATTTCAAACCTGTGAATATGAATGGTCCTTTTTAACAATGAAAAATTTTATGAATCCCCATTTGAATGATAGTTATGCTATTTTTATCTATTGTTTGAGAAAATAGATAGCAAAAAGCTATTGTGAATTCATTTGTGCTTTTTCATTTGAATTACACATCACAACAGCAAAAATAATGTCTGTATGTGTGAAACAGTTATTAGTCTAAAGAAGGTATTGTTTATTGTTTATCCCTTTGTCTTGCTTGGTTTGTTTATCCCATTGACACCTATTTTTAAATATGAACTTTCCATTACTACATCTGACAACATATTATTAAAAAGGGTTAGGATAAGGTATAGAACCAGAGGTGGTTTTCTGATAACTAAATATAATATATTGATTTCTACAAATTTGATAAGCATGCCATCTGTATCTTCATCCAAATAATTGATAAAAATGTTGAACAGAACTGAGCTTTGTTGCATTCTCCTAGAAAGCCCTCTCTACATTGGCATTGATTCATTCATTAGCACTGCTTGGTTCTAGTTGTTCAGCCATTTCAAGATCCACTTTACTATCATTCTATCATTTATTTATGTCTTGCCCACAAGAAAACTTAGAGAACATACTCTTGGACTTGGATTTTGCAAGGCTTTTCAACAGTCTTTGTAGCATTTCCCAGTCCTACCAGTAATAATAATAACCCTGTCAAAAAAGACACAGAGGTTCTTAACGAACCCATGCTGGCTCTATATTGGTGTTCACAAATATCCTTAGGACCATCTGGTATTTCTGTTTTCCAATGTAATTATGTGTGGTATAATAGTTGAAGGAAATATTTACATTTGTTGACTATGATACATTTGAAAATTAACAAATTTTCCTTTTTAAAAAATATTTGCCTAACAGTTGCCTAACAGTCATTGATTAGTAACTACTAAGCAATTTTTAAATTTCACATCAGGTAACCATCAATCATCACTTTTATATGGAAAAATTTTCAAGGGAAATAATAATAGCTGGTTATAACATGACTTAAGCTAACATTTAACATCTGAACTTTAGAATTAATGATATATACACAGGAAAATTCATAAATTCACTAATTGCTTTCTCCAGCTTCTAAGAGCAAATATAAAGGTGGATATTAATACATTGCTCCTTTTTAATCATCTCCTATATTAGGAAATCTAACACCACTATAATATTTTCTTATAGCCTGGAGATTTGAAAAAGAGAATTGAATCTCTAATAGACAGAGACTATATGGAAAGAGACAAAGACAACCCTAATCAGTACCACTATGTTGCATAATGAAGACGACAACAGACTGTTTTCTATAAAACACTAGAATGTATCTTCAGGACACTGAAACATACCGATGCTGTTTCCAGACCTACTTTCAGCAGATTTTCAGGTTGATGCATATGGTTCAATCAGCTGCATGCACTGCTGTGGATGAGAAAAGCAAAGGAAATGTTTCTTGGTTCATCCTTTACAAGGCATAGTGATTTTTAAATGGCATACATCTCCTCTTCCCTGACCCCACCACCCCCAATCTTCCTCTTATTCTATTAGACCATTAAGATTGTTTCTACTGCTCTGTACAAAATAATTTTGAAGTTGGACAGGAAGATACCAATTAAAAGACATTTCCTCTTGTGGACTTTTTTTCTGTGACAAAACACCGAAAGTTTGGTTTGGATTTGTGTGTGATCATGAATGCACATCATTTAAAAAAAAAAAAAAAGAAGACCCTAAATGCTGCATTCTCTAGCTACAAAGATTACTTAGGTATTTACGAAAACAAGAAACCTTAATTAATGAACACTTAGGCAGAAACATGTCAGTGTTCAAATACACTGACTTTTGAATTATGCACCATGAATACCAGTATCTATTTCTGTTTCATTTATTTTCAGGTAGTTTTAAACTTTGCAGACTGGTTTTTTATAAATCAGGTTTCTAAGTAAGATCTCTGAAGTGCCAAGAGGATGCTTATGTTTAAATATAGTGAACCATCAGATTCTTTATTTTAGCTATGGTATTCATTTGTGAATTTCCTGTTTGGGATTTGTGTTTTTTGGTTTGTTCTTATTTGTTTGACATTTTAAGATTGAGTCTAGCGGACCCAGTTTTTTGCATTAGGGTCACTGCTATTTGATTTTATTTACTGTAACCATAGTATTGCTACAGTAAACCTTGGTTGTGTTTTTACAGTCATACACAAGGATAGTAATCATACTATGTGCTCTACCACTGTAAAAAAAAAAAATTATCAAAGGCTTTTTAAAAGTCTTGATGTTGTGAAAGCAGAGGTTATTTTGTCTAGAGAGGCTAAAAGAATTTTGTTGGTATCTTGTTTCATATTGTATATATGTAAGTGGGTCTGAATTAAAGAATGGAAGTTATGTAGCTATATAGTATGGTAACTATGAGCAAGATACTTTTTGTGATAACATTTACAAGTACCTCTGTATATTTTACTGGATTTGCATAATAGCATGTTTCATTTTGATTAAAAGCTACCAAAGGAGTTTTGATCATGACATAAGTGTTTAAGCAATACTTTTCAGAAAATACTAAATTTATGTAATTTGATTTTGTGCACAATTAAATCCCCCTTTTAAAACATGCATTGTTTAAAATGTGACATCTTACAGATTTTCGTATTAAAGTCCTTATTCTTTCTTCAGGCATCATCATTTCCATTGCTTTTATTTCTTTTCTTGGTTCTACAGGATGTAGTATATAGAAGCCAAATAGATTTCTACTGCATATATATTAAGTTCAAGAACTATGTCTAGAGATTGTTAATATTGTAATTTAATGTAGACTTATATTTTGAATAAAATTAGTTTAAATTTGCCTAAAAATTACAGAAATAAAATTTTGTGATATGTGAAATACAAATTTCTCATAACTTTTTAGCCATCATATCTACATGTTTGATGCAAGCACCAGGCAAACAATTTTTGGTTAATCTACATAGCTCTGCGTAGATTTAATACCCCTGTCCAAAAAAGGAGCAGACAGCATCTGTGACTATAAAGACCAGATCATTCTTTTCTTATCATATCTTATCATATACTGCCTTGAGGGAAGGAAAATGATTGCAATGTTGCTGAAATTTTTTATTTTCCCTATGACCTCAAATACCTGTCAACGCTTTTTAATACTCTATTTTGGCTAGTTAGATTTTGATTCCTACTGTTTTCAGAGATGACCCTGTTTTTCTGCTGTGACTGGTAAATCCCCATCTTTGAGCTCTAAGCACTAGCTCCCATTTCAGTTCTGTTTTTTCTGAGTTTGTCAGTGTCATTTAAAAATCCTGTCCAATTTTTTTTTTACCTATATCCATAAAATGAATCAACAGATAACCTGTGACAATCAAATACACAAAGTTTGATTCTCATGAGAAGCACTATTTTATTCTATAGTAAAAAAATTCATTGTACAGGTACCATCCTCAGTGTTTGAAAAGTTGTTCTATATAGAGTGATAGGTACATTGTTGCATTTCATATTTAAAAAGATTCTATGCTTGAAAATGCTACTTACTGTGTAAAGGAGTAGCTAATTTCCTAACATATCTTGAAAAACATCATCTCAACCTTGAATTATATCTCCTTTCCCCTCTCCCCATTTCTGTTTTCTTCAGTTTTCTTTTGTTTCATATTTTGTCGAATCCATTTAGCAGGATGTAGCACCAATAAAATTAGATTAGTGCTAAATACAAACATTTGCATTTTTGAAGGAAAAAGTTTAATCAAGTCACATAATAAAGATAATGTAAATAGCTCTGAACGTAAAAGTTGTCATTTTCCTTTCCAATGACAGTGAACATTATAAATTTGTAATTTGGTTATGCCAGGAAGGTAAAAATTAAAGTAAAATTCTTGTAGTTCGTTTTATAACTTCATTAGGCTGATTTAAAAAAAAAAGATATTTTTCTAACATTCAAAACAGTTTAAATCAATTTTAGTATCATACTGCTATGATGTTGTCTTCCTAAGCATTTCTATGCTGTTACCAGTGGCACTCAGAAAATAATATTACAGAAATTGAGAGCATCCTTTTTCCTATAGTAACAATAACTGAAGAGTGAGTGACTTGATAGCGTCAGAGAATTAGTCTTGAAGGGATCATGGAAGTCTTTCCTCATCTGTAAAATGGAGATAATACCTGCATGATCTTACAAGGTAGTATTGATAAATGAAATAATGTGTATAAAATCATTTTCTATACCTCTAGAAATTTGAGCTATTACCCTTACACTTAAGGAGCAAGAAGAAGAGGATGAACCAGCAAAAGAGAGAGAAAGGTGCAGTCAGGCATCATGAGACTCATAAGAGACTACTGTCACATAAACCAAGAGTCTGTGTCTATCCAGGCATAGAGTTGTCAATAATCTAAAGTGCTGCAGAATGTTCATTGCTTCCAAAGAGCAATCATATTGATTAAAAGGTCATTGGTGTCCTTTGAGAGCTATGTCAAGGAACTGGTGAGGTCAGAAATCACAAGGGATCTTGCAATGTATAAGCATAAGCTACTCTTTGTAGTACATCTGTGAGACTGATGTTAAAAGGAGAAGATAAAGAGAAGATTTGAAGAGAAAATGAGGGAACCCAGTGCAAATGGTCTAAAATCCCAAAAAGCAAGAGACAAGTCATGCTGAAAAGGAAGAAGGGAATAAGAGTAGAACCTAGGGAGAGATGAAGTTTGGGACAGTTGTTAATAGAAAGTATAGGAGGTGGTAAATCAGATATGTAAATTACCTTGTACAGGTGAGAGCCCAGTTGACGGCATTAATTGGTGACAGATGCTGTATAGTTTTCTGATTTCTTCTAGGAATATTGAGTAATTGGGTTAGGAGAGAAAAAGCAGTTGGTGAGGATGACCTGGGATTGAAGATGAACAGGATTTAGATGTGGAAAATAGTGCCTTATAGAACATTACTGAGTCTATGCTGTGAAAGAAAGAATAAATCTACAATCCTACTTTTGGCTTCCAAAGGAGAAGGCTGTGTGGCAAAGGGAGCTGGAGGAGGACTTGAGCTTAATAAGGAAAAGGAAATGGTGAAAGTGGTTAGGATGACTTGTGAAGAAGACAAAGTTAAATGTAGGAGAATTCTGACGAAAAAAACTTGAAGAAAAGGGCATCAAGCAGTTAGGTAATTCATAAGGAAAGGTAAGTAAGAAAAGGTAAGTTAAGTGAATGAAATGGTAAAAATGAAAATGATGGAGCAAAGAAACAAGTAATACCTAGCTGCCATATTGTTGAGAGAAAGGAAAGGAAGGTATAATTGTCAAGTTTGTAGGTTCCCAAAGTGGGCAATACCACCCCCTGAGGGGTGCTGGTACGATCCAGGGGGGCAGTAGTAGCAATTGGGGGGCATTGAATAAAAATAAGGCGGTGGTGAAAGCATAAGGAAAGAAGAGAAGAGAAGAAAATCTGGAAAAACTTCATACATGTTTCATCTGTTGTGTAACAAAGTTAAAGTCATAGTGATTACATTATTTTCCGAATAAACACACAAAATACAAGTTATAACCCATCAGTGGTCAAGTCCACCAACAGGTCTTAACAAGCAAGTGTTGGCAGGCAGTGCATTGTTGGGAAGTCCAACATGCCTGGGCAGGAATGTGGGTATAATGACTTGTTTACAATATAATATTATATGGTTACATGGTCAATGTTGCATCATCAAAATTTCAATGCAGGAAGAAAACCCAGAAATTTACAATAAATTATTAAATTTTTTAAAAAATATTTCATATTTTTTTGAAATGATGCAAATTTTAAAAAAAACCATTAAAAGGTTAAGAAAAGTAGATTGGGGGTGGGGGTGCTGAGTAATTTTTTTTTAAAAGGGGGCAGTAGGCCAAATAAGTTTGTAAACCTCTGGTCAAGTTGTTAAGATAAAACAATATAGTAAATAAGGATATGAAAATTTTAAAGAAGTTCTTACATAGTGAACTATCTGCCTACAAGCAATTTGGAAGACAAAGCTGAGTATTCTAAACCAATTTGGAGAGCATGGGAAATTTGCATTACATTCATTGTTTTGTTTTGTTTTTTGGCAAACCAACTTTAATATTAGAGATTAAATGTGAGAGAACTTGAAGAAAAGTGGGAGGAGAAAAAGAAATGAGAAAAGACTTGAAGAAAAGGACTCAAGGAGTAGGTAGTTCATTAGGGAAGTTAAAAAAAGGTAAGTCAAGTGAATGAATTAGTAAAAAATAATGTTAGTGGGGGAAGGAAAGGAAATTCTTTCTGTTCCTCCACAGTCCAGCTTATCTCTGTCTAATACTTTCAATGGGGGACAGTATGATCACAAAAGTGTAGAATAATCCTGTAAAAATCACGTTAGTGCCAAAGCTTAGAATGAGCTGGAGCTAACCAGGAAAGCTAAAGACAACAGAAGGGTTTGGGACTTGGGAAGTTATTTAAGTTCCCCAGGGTCAAAAAAAAAGTACAAAAAGGATTGGACCCCTGCTGTGAGGAGAGGGGGACATTGATAACTACCTACAGAAGGCAGAACCTGTTATTTTTGCTTTTGTTTTCCCAAGGACAGAACAAAAATGGCAGCTCTAACTGGACAGAGTTGGCTATAGAATCAGGAAAACCTAGACACCAGTCCACCTTGCAAACAGTGGTTGTGTGATCTGGGCACATCACTTGGCCCCTCAGTAGCCCTGGAAGCTCACTTGGGATTATAAATTACAGAGCCAGGGCCAACTGGCTGTCTTTGGTCAAGGGAACTTTCT